TCTTGGATCCATACAACCTTGCACCCCACGGTTGATGGATAGTCCGCCTATGTCCCTAACCCCAGCTGTCTAATCTCAGAAGTCACTGCCACAGGTATTAGTGGACTACAGATCTTCCACCTGTATGGCATTGATGCCACTGTTGGCAATATGGGTAATATCTTCTGGGCAGATGGCCTCCATACTGGCGGTAACAAGGATAAAGTGGTGACATTATTGCAGCCTTCCAAACTTGCCTCATCGTCCAGAGGCAAGGTTCCTCCACCCAGGGATATGTCAGGGCCTCCCTTCTTAATCCGGTGGGCCTTGAGAGCTCTGACAGATGACTACTCTTCATGAAGCTCTTAGGGTACTCAGAGCGGGCAAATCTCATCTCCCCCGTGAATGTGTGTTTTATGTCTCTGCAGCTCATCTGGATGTGCCAAGTGTCTCCCACAGCATGACCAGGAACACACAAGCATGCCTCTTCTCTACATGCCAGCTCCACAGTACTGGAGGTAGGAGGTCTTGCCATATTCTGTGCCAGACCCCAATATGGCAGATGTACGGTTTGTTTTTGTGCCCGGATCTCCAGAGTCCCTCTCTGTGCTGTCTTTACAGTAGGGTCAGATACACATGTTCCACTGGGCCCTCTGACCAGCTTAGGCATAGGGATCAGGGCTGTTCTCTTCCCCACCTGATGTCTCCGATGTATCCTATCACCAATAGATCCATAGAGGTCAAGGTGAGTTCCGTGATCAAATGGGGTATTTTTGATAACCAATGGCAGGCTAGGAGATGGGTCTGGTTCCCTGAAGTACCCAATACTGAGGTTAATCACCTGGAGGCTTGGTGGAGAGGAGAGTTGAGCAGCATTCACCTGACTATGCAGCAGGAATGGAGGCAGCTGAGGTAGAGGGTGATATCGCTGCTGCTATTCTGCTCCAAGTAAATACCCTGCACTTGAGGCAAGGTGATTGTCTGGGCCTGTGTGTTCTGAACTTGGAGATCTTGCAGCTGCAGGAGTGGTGTCTGCTGACTCACATGTCCCTTGACCCTCACTATTGGAGTCTCAAACGATGATGATGCCACAGTCTGGAACAGCCTTACATTGGAGGCTCTGGAGGGTTCCCTTGGGAAGTAGCTTGAGTTGTGAAGGTCCGCCCTGATGATGGTGCTGCTTGGGGGGGCCTGAAGAGCTGTCCCCCTTGAGCTAGCTAAGAGGAGTAAGGATTTGTTGTTAGCATGTCTGCTGGGTTCACTCTGCCTCTTTTTGCTGACTCCCTCGCAGCGAGCTTCCCAGCGTCTGGTTCTGACGTATGTTCAGAACATCGGGCTCCTGTAGCCCACTGACCTGGAGCATCTGGCCTTGAGAGCTGGTCCCTGATCATCTACTGGTAGTAAACTTCATAACTTCCGTGTCGCCGGTGGTAGTGGTTCTTGAGTGCCTATTGGCTCTGGTGCAAAAGCAGCTGGAACTAGCGTGTGAAGACAGCAAGCAAGCGAGACGGCAGAGCTAATGGAGGTCCCTGAGGTGACGGGCTGTGAGCCGCTCTCCCGGGATCCGGAGCTGCTGATCGTGACTGCCTGAGAACTGGGAGTCGAGGTAAGTGTAGAAACACTGCTGATAGAGAAGCAAAACAATGCTTCCACTCAGGGGCTCTGGTACATCAGTCGCATATGGAGTCTGTTTGAGAGTACGTTATTAATCAGGCCTTGGAGGGAGACGGGTTTGGCTGCTGCCTGTCAGCGTCGGGAACTGTGGGATCACTTCATACTGAATATTAGGCATCGCTTTGGGGAGTGATACCTGAACTGGATACTTCTGTAAGTCGGAGGCGGCAGCCACAGCAAACTGCCCACCTGAGACTGCAGTTCTTGGAAGGCTCACGGTCATAGCCGGTGCTGGTGCTGTTGCTACCCCTGTTTCTTTGGGACAGTAGTAGCCTCAGAGGAGGAAGATGATCTGTCAGTCACTGGCTCCCTGTGAAAGTTGAAAAGCTGTGAGGTCAAGTCCACCTGTGCCTCTGACTGGCCCAGATCCTAGGAATCGCTATTCTTTCTCGGTGACTCGGTTCTGCTGCAGGTCGCTGCCAACAGGGCCAAAGCCAGCTGGGCCTCCTGCCCTCTGCCTCCACCATCACTGCCACGTGAGCCTGAGGGAAAGGGGCCACCACTGCCACCAACATCTTTTTCAAATCTTCACCACCGCTGCCACTTCTTCTCCGGAGTAGCCTTGGCTGCTCATGGTGAGGGCTGAGGGGTGAGTTCAAGAGGGCTGGTCCAGAGGGAGGCGGGTAGTGGTGATGAGGCAAGCCAACTTGGACCCAGTTCAGGAGGGATGATGAGCAGGAGGGAGTGGCTTGTCCAGATGAGGCTTTTTTAAAAGACAAAGGTAGGAATAAGCTGGAAGCTGTGCCCTGGAACCTACTTTGCTGCCTGTAATGTCTCAAAAGAAGTGGAAAGCTTCCCAGACAAACTCTGACATCCATTCTTGAGAAACCAGTCACAGAGGGAAATTCCGTCAACTTGACCAAAGGCATCTATAGAGGCCCTGGCGTGTGCTGGTGAGGGCGAGTACTTGACAAAGGTCTGGAGTGACATGGTAACTCACTGTCTGCACTTCTCGTCATCACAGGCACTGGCGGTTCTTTGGGGGCAACGCAAAGGGACAAAAACTAACACATCCCACATGGAAGATCCTCCTGTTCTTCAATAGCAATACTCAGTTCCCCCTGCTCTATGATTCAACACAATTCCAGCAACGTAATTCCACAAGATTTTGAAATTAAAGTCGGGGCCTGTAAGAGCACATACTTCTCTTACCAAAGTTCGGTTCCCAGCGCCCACGCCAGGCAGGCCACAAGCCCACAAGCCCAGCTCCCAGGGATCCAACTCTAATCTCTGTGGGAGCCTGCGCACGTGTACAAACCCACACACAGACATGTAATGAAAAGCAAATAAAAATCTTTTATAAAGATCAAAATGGAAGTTGACACACTGATGCTGAAGTGTGTATGATATGCAAAGATACTGGATAGCAAACAGTCGTGAGAGGGACGAGGGCTGGAGTCCTTAAATCACTCGGCTCCAGAGTGTGCACGTGTGTGTGTGTGTGTGTGTGTGTGTGTGTGTGTGTGTGTGTGTGTGTGTGTGCGTGCACTGTGTCACATTGGTGCTGTCGGGGAGAAACAGGTCAGAGACCAGAGCAAAGCGTCCGAAAGGCTCCCTGGCCAAAGACCCCCACTATGGATGGAGACAAGAGCCACCAATGAGAAGGCGCGAGGCAGATGTTGGAGTGTTGGGGTCAGGATAGGGGGGTATCACCTGGACCCTTTCTCCCATGATCCCCTGCAGCGAATCTTCCTTCTTCCACCCATGATCCAAGGCTCTGCAGCTTCCAGAATGTTCTCTGGTGGAAGAGCGGCACTGGTGCCCACCCTCCACATAAAATGTGCCCTGACATGTTAGACAGAAGTCCACACCACAAGGAGCAGCCAGCCCGCTACTGCTCTCATTCCCCGGGGAGTCAGAAGCCGGATGCCAGGCCTGTTTCTCAGCCTCCCACTGGTAACTATATTTGAGTTCCCTAACTCTGACCTCAGTGACCTCAGTGACCTCAGTGGGGCCTAGAGAGCGTTCATCTCTGGGACTGCTGGGGGACCAGGCAAGCAGGTGCCCCCCCCATCCTTCACTCTGTCTATCCCCGTCACACTTCACCCCTTTCTGGAACCGTAGTGATGTCTTGGGGAACACTGTTCAGACCTCAGTCTGATTTTTTTTTTTTTTTTTTTTTATCACAGCAGCGTCTTCTGGAAATGTCCCTTCTGTAGTTGGGGACATGCTTTGTCTGGACCTACCTTACTCTTCTCTCAGGACCAGCATGTGTGAAGGAAGCTCACAGTCCCCCTCATAGAAGACTTCGAGCCCTGTGCCTGGAAGCTCCCTCCAGTATCCCCTCTGAATACAGACTCATCCTCCTGTCCCATTAGTGTCTCTGTGGTGTCCTTATGACAAGCCCCCACCCCAGTGACCTCTAGCCTTTATGCTATGCAGCCTGACCAGGGTCCAGCGCAGAGTCCCCGTAATGTCCACAACTCCTCTGATACCTCTAGTCCTGAGAGCCGCAGCCTAACATATGACCTCAGGAAGGTACCTGCCCATGCATCTCATCTGTCCACAATGCAGGGGCAGGGTGCTGTGTCCCCTGACAGGTAACACCATGCCCTCATCCTGGCCCAACACATCCTGGGGTCTGTAGGAAGCAGCAGTGTTTCTCGGCCAATCATTTTGTCAAACACTTCTTCTAGGTCTTTCTTTTAAAAATATATATTGTTTGATGTACACAGCCAGGCAGAAAAATCAAAAGCACGGTGAAGGGCCCACTTCTGCAGTCGTGGTGTCCTGCAGCCTGGAGCTCCCTACTAGGGCCCTGGTTTTCCGTGTGCATGGGGGAGCGAGTGTGGGGACTGACCCATACAGCGGGTCCCAGTGTGGCAGCTACTTCTTGGTTAATTCCAGGAGTTAGTGAGCCAGTGTGATTGTGGCTCTAAGGGTCCTTCCCAGGAGGGGACATCGTACAGTTGCAGAATGATGAGGGACCAAGTGGAGACAATGTAGACAATGGGAAGAGGTGTTGTGATCCTGATGCCCCCCCCCACCCCCGGGTATGAGTCATAGACTTCATGGTGGCTTTGAAGAAGGTGGCCTGTCTCCAGGCTGGTGGGAGAGGGAAGCGGGGTGGGGGTGGGGTGGGGGTGGGGTGGGGGAGGTGGGGGGGGACGGGGGGCAGGGTGCCTCAGCCCAGGGACTTCACTAAGCAAGACGGGCCCTCTGTGGGTGTTCCTTGCAACACTTGGCACTGTGACCGGTGCTGTCACTTGTAAGGGGCACAGGTGTGGTGTTCCCAGTAGCCACGTGCATTCTCTTACAGCTCCTCTGTCCTTGGGCCGTGGGGCCAGCCAGCCTCCCACAGGGCACCAGGTCCTTGCTCAGCGCGGCTCCTTGCAGATCCCAGAGCGATGGCCAGTCTGAATGTGTCCCTTTCTTTCTTTTTTGCCACCTGTGCCCTCTGTGAGGTGGCCAGGAGGGTCTCGAAAGCCCTGCTCCCAGCAGGGACCTACGTCAGTTTTTCCCGGGAGGCCGTGGGTGCGGCCCAGCTGGCAGCCTGCTGCCTAGAGATGCGAGTGTTGGTGGAACTTGGCCCCTGGGCTGGGGGCTTCGGGCCCGACCTGTTGCTGACCCTGGTCTTCCTGCTCTTCGTGGTGCACGGGGTCACCTTTGATGGGGCCTCTGCCAACCCCACTGTGGCCTTCCAGGAGTTCCTCATGGCGGAGGCCTCGCTGCCCAGCACTCTGCTGAAAGTGGCGGCCCAGGTGCTGGGCGCGCAGGCCGCCGCTGCCCTGACGCAGCGCTGCTGGGCCTGGGAACTCAGTGACCTGCACTTGCTGCAGAGCCTCATGGCTGTGCACTGCAGCTCGACCCTGCGCACATCCGTGTTGCAGGGCACCCTGGTGGAGGGCGCCTGCACCTTCTTCTTTCATCTGAGCCTCCTCCGTCTGCAGCACAGCCTTCTTGTCTACAGGGTGCCTGCCCTGGCTCTGCTGGTCACTGTCATGGCCTACACAGGTGAGACCCGCTCCCCTTTCTGCTGGACCTGTCAGGACCTCAACACCTTCACGGGTACCCAAAAGGGGTTCTTCTGGCCAAGGGTCCCACAAGTCCTTGTGGTCACTTCTTGGGCCCCTGACAGGTGGGTAGAGGCTGGAAGGCTAGACCTGGGGGGTGGGTTTTGTGTAGGGGAGCCGTGTCCCATATATCTCTCCTCGATTCCCAGCTGCAATGTTCATTACATCTGGGGCAGCGGGAGCAGCTAGGCAGTTCAAGGTTTGGTCCTGGCTGTGCTCTGGATGCCCCTGAGCCCTCGAACAGCCCATACAGGGCAACAAGTCTTAGGATTTCTTTCTCCTTTCCACCCTCCTCACTCAGACCTGAGACAGCAGCAGCCCCTCATGCCTGTAACCTCTGTCCCGGCCATGCTGGCATCCTGACTAGGCTTTTGTGGTCTCTGGTGCTCTTGCGGGCGCTGCTCAGGCCAACTCAAAGCCTACACTCTGATTTTGTTTCCCAGATCCACCTGGAGGGAGGCATCCCTAAATGGGATCCCAGGACAGGGAGCACTACAGGGGATCACCGCAGGCTATTGACCAGCTGCTCCCGAGAGCTGCAGACTCTGTGGATGTTGCATCATGCTAGATGCAGAGGTTTCTTTTTTTTCCTTCCTTCCTTCCTTCCTTCCTTCCTTCCTTCCTTCCTTCCTTCCTTCCAGATTTATTTTGTATGCAGTGTTCTGTATGCAGGCCAGAAGAGGGCGTCAGATCTCATTAGAGATGGTTGTGAGCCACCTTGTGATTGCTGGGAATTGAACTCGGGACCTCTGGAAGAGCAGCCAGTGCTCTTAACCGCTGAGCCATCTCTCCAGCCCAGAGCTGAGGTTTCTAAAGGCTTGTTCTAGGAGGCCAAGAGCCCAGGAAGCAGAAACAGCACAAGCCAATGCTGAGTCAAGCCAGCTCAAGACTTTGCAACCTATACTAGCAAGATCACGAGAAAGACCTCCAACACCCTGATCAGAGGGGATAAGCTGAGGCCAGAAGTACAAGAGAACACGGGAGGGTGGTGGTCTACTGCAGAATGCACAGGAGCAGCTGTGTCCTACCCTGTGGGCCAGGGTTCTCACCTCCCACCGCAGAGCTGCCTGTGACCTGCACCCAGGTCCAGGTCCACACAACACTTGCTCTTCCTGAGGCCCAGCTTCTGCTCTGCCTGCCCAACGTCATTGTCTGCTTCCTGGTGTGGCCTGAAAAATCGTAGCTGGCTCAACTGCTCCCCTCACCTGGCTTCTCTCCTGTGGGGTCTCAGCTGGTGACTCCTCTGTAGTTATCCCAAGGCCTGAAGGTGACATCTCTGTCCCTGTTGCTGTTTTTATCTCAGTCTCCCCGTCTCACTCTTTACACCCCCCACCCCACCCCACCCACCCCCACTCCCGTCTCCTTTCCTTGTTTTATTTTGGTGTTGGTTTTGTGGTGTTTTTTGGTTTTTTTTTTAAATCCCCTCTCTGGCTCTGGTCCTCTCTTGGTGTGTCTGCCCGCCGCCCCCCCACCCCCTTTCTCTTTCCCTCTCCATAGCCTTTGATATTTCTCCTCATACCTCTCTGGGCCACCTCCCAGAAGGCAGGGGCGTTGGATCAGAGGACTCCTGATGCAGGAGTCTCGGGGTGAGGGATGGGGGAGTGTGTCAGACATCCTTGGTATAACCTTGGTCCCAGCTCCTCCCCTGTGACCTTTGCCCTCGGCTGCTCCAGCCTTGTTCCTCTGTGCTCATCAGCATGCCACAGGGAGACCAGATGCCCCCAGTCCCCTAGTGCCAAGAGCCGAAGCCTGTGTCTAACGGTGTGGTCTCAGAGGCGGCAGCTTCAGTCAGAACCAGCCCATGAGGATTCTGTGCATCTGTCCACAGCTGGACCCTACACATCTGCCTTCTTCAATCCTGCCCTGGCTGCCTCTGTCACATTCCACTGCTCTGGGAACACCTTGCTGGAGTATGCCCATGTGTATTGCCTGGGTCCTGTGGCAGGTGAGCTGTGGGGGCAAGGCCGACCTGGGTAGTGTCCATGGACAGACACAGACACAGACACTCAGGGCATGGCTGGCTACAGATTCACAATGCTGCCATCCTTCCTGGCTCCCCAGGATCTTGGTGGTTGGGGCAACAAGGGTTTCAGATCTGTTCTCCTGGTCTCTGCAGTGTGGACAGTTGGAGGAAGTGACTAGGATGGGTATGTCTTGGTTTGGATGGTCACAGAGGAGGGGGATGGTGTTAGGTGGAGAATGGGGTATGGAGAATTTGACACTCCGAGGGCTCTGTGTGGGCAGCAGGGACAGGCTGCACGGGTTCACTTGTGTCTGGGTTCCCTTCTCCTCACGGCATCTTTACATACCCAGTTAAAGCTGTCTTTCTGGGTGCTGCCACCACGGGGTCTCTGGGACATGCTTGGATGATCCCATGCCCTTTGGGGCTGCAGCCCTGAGTGGTCAGGGCCTGTAGCTCCTGGTAGGTCTGCCCTGTGACCCCTTGAAGCCCAAAGGGGACCCCCTCCGGTCATCAAGGTCTGAATGAGGAATAGCAGTGAAAGGCCCTGGGCTAGAGTAATCCAGAGAAGGCCACCAGATGTCCCTCGCTCCAGGACCTGGGAAATACTGGTTCTGGCAGATTCCTCTCTGGCACTGGGCCCAGCCACTAGGTGTTCCCACACCATTCATGGCTTTGCCAGATGACTGATGTCCACCGGAACCTTGGAAACTCTCCACTCCTTCCAGGTCCACACTCCACACTCGGCAGGAGTCAGGGCAGAGCCTCAACCCGGGGCTGGGGGGGAGAAACGGAGACAGAAGTCCCAACTCTCCCCACAAACACAAGCTTGGCGTGATGCCTGGGAGATGGTCTCACCACCAGGAACCTGGGTTCTTGTAATGTGGTAGAAAAGATAAGACTCCTCTCTCTGCCCCATGGACCCTATCCCCACGGGCCACGCTTCTGTGGACTGCTTCCAGTTTATCCCCTTGTCCCCACATACACGCTGCAGGGCTCCTCTATGATTTTTTCAGCTTTAGTTAACTTGTATGTAGGTGTATGTGCATGTGTGTACATGTGTTCATGTATGTGAGTACACGCGCGGGTGCACACGGAAGCCAGAGGCCAACCTTGGATGTCATTCCCTCGTGGTTTGTGTTTTGAGAGAGCTCTCTGAGTAGACTGACTGGCCAGCGAACACCGGGGATCTTGACACTTCCTCCCCAGTGCTGGCATTACAAGTGCGTGCCACTGTATCTTGCTTTTTTGGGGTGAGCTTGGAGACAGGGTCTCACCATGTAGCCCTGGCTGTCCTGGAACTCTTTACGTAGAGCAGGCTGGCCTCAAACTCATAGAGGTCCGTCTGCCTCTGTCTCCTGAGTGCTGGGATCAAAGGCTTGCACCACTGTATCCGGCTTGTCTGGCTTTTTATACATAGGTTCTAGAGACCAAACACAGGCCCTCGTACTTACAAGACAAGCACTTTATGGGCCAAGCCATCTCTTCAGCCCTAATAATTCAGTTTTTGGCATAACTTTGGGTAGGCTGCCCCCATGCTCATCCCTCATGATATGGGCGTCACTTCTGGCCTGATCAGCTTGGCCTCAGACTTGTGATCCTCCTGCCTGGTGTGACAGAATGACGGGCATGTCACCACGCCTGGCTCAGGCCACCATCTTCATCTAGAAGTTGACAACACAAAAACAAAAGTTTACAAAGTTTAGTTAGAATTCAACATTGAGGAGCTGGACAGCGGTGGCGCACGCCTTTAATCCCAGCACTCAGGAGGCAGAGGCAGGAGGATCTCTGTGAGTTCCAGGACAGCCTGGTCTACAGAGTGAGTTCCAGGACAGCCAGAGGTTACACAGAGAAACCCTGTCTTGAAAAAACAAAACAAAACAAAAAACACCCCCCCCAAAAAGACCAAGATAGTTAAACATTAGACAGAGCTCAGGGAATCCTATGGAAGAGAGGGATGAAGGATTGTAGGAGCCAGAGGGGTCAAGGACATCACAAAAAACCCCCACGGAATCAACTAACCTAGGCTCATAGGGGCTCACAGAGTCTGAACCGACAACCAGGGATCCTGCATGGGACTGACCTAGGCCCTCTGCATATGTGTTACAGTTGTGTAGTTGGGTCCACTTGTGGGACTCCTAACAGCGAGAGCCTATTCCTCACCCCGGGTGGCCTTGTCAGTCTTGGTACAAGGAGAGGAGTTTAGTCCTACTGCAACTTGATATGCCATGTTTTGTTGACACCCATGGGACACCTGCCCTTTTTTGAACAGAGGAGTGGATGTGGGGAGGGGGAGGAGGGGGAGGGGAGTGGGACCTGCTGTTTGGGATCTTTCCTCCTTCCCTGGCTAGCTGGTCCCTCTAAGAACCTGGAGGAGGCGGGACTTAAAATATCAGTGAAAACATGGAGGTTGAGCCAGCTTCCCGCTGTCCTTCCCAACCCAGGTCTGACCCTGCTCTTTCCCTGTCTTAGGGTTATCATTGCTGCGATGAAACACCATGACCAAAACAACTTGGGGAGGAAAGGGGTTATTTGGCTTATGCTTCCATATCACTGTTCATCATTGAAGGAAGTCAGGACAGGAACTCAAACAGGGCAAGAACATAGAGGCAGGAACTGATGTAGAAGCCATGGAGGAGTGCTGCTTACTGGCTTGTTTCCTCTGGCTTGCTCAGCCTGCTCTCTTATGGCACCATCCACAATTTGGGCTGGGCCCTCTTCCATTAATTGTTTATTAAGAAAATGTCCTATAGGTTTGCCCACAGCCCACTCTTATGGAGGTGTTTTTGTTTTTGTTTTTGTTTTTGTTTTGAGACAGGGTTTCTCTGTGTAGCCCTGGCTGTCCTGGAAACTTGCTCTACAGGCTAGCTTTGAACTCACAGAGATCCATCTGCCTCTGCCTCCCAAGTGCTGGGATTAAAGGTGTGCGCCACCACCGCCACCACCACCACCAGGCAGAGGCATTTTCTTAACTGAGGTTTCCTCCTCTAGATGACTTTAGTTTGTGTCAAGTTGACATAAAACTATCCAGCATGCCCCCTCCCCCCAAACTACTCCTCACTGAAAGCAGTCCTGCCCACCACACCACCCTCAGAGGCAGCCTGAAAGAGAGGCTGTAAAATATAGCACCGGAAAATGGCATGGGACATTTGCGTGGGACATCCTGAGTCCTGGGTCCCCAGAGCATAATCTGGAAGGATCCTAACCTCCCATGAGTGCTCCATGGGCTATCTAGGCAGCATGTTCTCAGCACCAAGGAGCAGGACCCTGAGAAAGGATGTGGCCAGGAAGAGCCTTGCCGGGAGGGCCTGGACTCTTTCATCCGGGCTGTTCCATAATCTGACCCCGTCTCTTGCAGGGATGACCCTGGCTGTCTTACTCCATCAGGGCCACCTTCCCCGCCTTTTCCAGAGAAATCTGTTCTACCGGCAGAAAAACAAATACCGAACTCCCAGAGGGAAGCTGTCCCCAGGTTCTGTGGACACCCAGATGCTCACAAAGGAGTAGAGTGGCAAAAGGCTCTAGCCTTTGCACACCAGGGCTGTAGGCACTGGAGTCCAGCTGAGTTGTCTTGCTCACGGAGGCTTCAGTCACCTCCTAAAACTCCTCAGGTCCCCTCGATGAAATCGTTTGCCAATAAACCGTTGCTAAGACCCGCCTGTCTCCCTGGCCTGACGGAAGCTTCTGGAAGGACAGGTGAGGGTGAGTCCTTTTTACCTATTACACGTTCTTTCCTGATTCGTGTTTACAGAGTGATAATTAAAAGTAAGGCTACAAAGACTGGCAGAAAGCCCAGGGTGAGCTAACATGGGCCTGGCTACCTGGTACATGCCTGGGAACCCACAGTCAAGAGAGGCCTAAGTCTTTCTGGGGACCCCAAAGATAACAGTGGAGATTTCAGTGAATGTTTCAGGGGTCTGGGCCTGGCACAAGGAACCTAATGCTGCCATCTATCAAGTTTCCTACCCTTAGGACACAGGCTATTTGCCCCCCAAAGCTAGGCCAACCCTATTCCCATGAGTTCCTGGGTCAGTTGCTCTGTGGTGGGGTAGGACTAGAGGACAAAACAAGGGGGTAGTCCCGGTTTCCCAGATACTGGTGAGGCCACATGGAGGCAAAAGAAGATTCTTCCAGGCCCTTCCGTGCCTGCCCCTTCACCTTCTCTAAGGCACCTCTGCCTACCCATCCTGGCAGAGGTCCCTGCCTGGAACCCTAGCCTCTTTCCCTTTGTTGGTGTGACCAGCCTGGGAAAGGGTGACAAGGATCCCAGTTCCCTGATGGCCCCTGGAAGAGGCCGGAGAGCCAGCTCTGTGTGGCCTTTGACTTCAGGGGGTGAGACCACAGAGGTGGTGATGTGGGGCAGTGTGTCTACCATGGATGATGATAAGGGCTGTGAGCCTATCAGCATCCTGCATCAGGGCTGGGCATGTTGTTGGAAGGTGGTCCTGATGGAGCAGGACAGCTAGGATCATCCCTGCAAGAGATGGGGGCTGGGTGGTGGGTAGTTGCTGAATCAGAGGTGGCATCCCAGGAGCAGAGACAGCTCCTCATGGCCATACTGAACCCAGGGAGGCTGGCAGCCTGGGGTCCTCATAGCCTGCACAGATGACCAGGACAGGTCATCCTGCTGTGATTAAAGTGTCAGGGTCACAGTCTTATTATACGATGTGGCAGAACTTGGGTCAGACATTTAAAGTGAGAAAATACTACATTAATGTATAGGGTGGCTGTACAGGGTGATGTATATGGTGATGTATACGGAGGAGCTATTCTAGAAGCTGTGTGTTGTATGAACATGCTTGTACACACATACACACCCACATACACAGGGCAGAGGGGTGATATCTACACACAATTTTTGATAGGAATTTATCCCAGAGTATGTTCCTAGTCTTTGGTATATAGATGTTTGCTGCCCGACTGTTTACAATTCTTTTGAAAATAGACCATTTTCACTATGGTTTGTCTATGATGTGACACATTAAGAAGTCTCTAAAACCCCATAGATTAAGATTTGTCGAAAAATTAAATGCATTATTTTTGTGGAAAACAAATTACTTCTAGCAAGAAATGCCCACTTGTTTATCAGAATAGTTTCACTTTGTCCCTCCTGCCTCCCCTCTTTCTTTCCAAAAATTGGCTTGGAAAAGGCAGAGAAACACTGATTTCCTCTGTATGGGAGAGAGGAGGAGGTGGATGAGAGATGTAGAGAGGCAGCCTGCCGGATCTATGCTGGAGGAAGCCAAGTGGCCATGGGCAATCTCCTCAGGAAATACCCCTGGCTGTCTGTGGGGACAGTCCAACCCCAGTGCCTTCTACAGAACTGTGAAACCAGGACGTTGGTGCCTGAGCTTGGGAAGTGGCTGTGTCAGGCTGGGGGGTGGGGGGAGAGGGGCTGTGTCAGGCTGGCAGGTGGGGGAGGGGCTGTGTCAGGCTGGCTGGGGGGGAGGGACTATGTCAGGCTGGCAGGTGGGGGAGGGGCTGTGTCAGGCTGGCAGGTGGGGGAGGGGCTGTGTCAGGCTGGCAGGTGGGGGAGGGGCTATATCAGGCTGGGGGGGAGGGGCTGTGTCAGGCTGGCAGGTGCTCAGCCTGTGTGGTCCTCTGTCCCAGTGGGTGCATTCTGCAGGGTCTCTCCCTTCTGGTTGCTGAGACGGACCTGTCAGCATCTGATGGGCTGGGAGGAGAACGCAGCCTCTCCACTGTGTGTGGTGAGTTTGTTGTTGTTTGCAATTTCCCGTGAATCTGCCGTGACTCACATTCTGAAAACTGCCCTACAACAAGTTTGCATTATTGCTTAATTCTTTCAAAATGAAAAGAGGACATGAACCAAGACAGAAATCTGAGCCTGGCAGATTCCTTGTGGCTTCGGATGAGGAGGAGGTGAGTTCATATTTTCAGAGGGCTTAGCCTAGGGCTGGATATACCACATAAGTCTAGTATAAGCTTTTTGCTTTTTGCAAAAAAAAAAAAAAAGAAAATGTAAAATTTAAAAATGCACGTACGTTTCAGTTGTAAGGATAAACCTGTGTCATTTTTGCCCAGCTCTGACTCCATTTTGGGCACCCACAAATGCTAAGTGACCGCCAACAGACTCTGGAATACCTAGGAGTGGAACCATGAGTCAGGCCACAAGGCCATGGGATGACCCTGGGCTCCGCAGCTGGTGCCACCTTCTGTGTGGCTGTCTTCTGGTGTTTAGAGCCACTTGTCTCCCAGATGGCATCCAACGGTTGAGCACTGTGACCCTGTATCCCATGGATCTTCTTCCTCCTCCTGGGCCACAGCCCCTCCTGACTAGACAGTTCTCCCCGCCCATGCTGGTTCCTCCATGCAGGCCCCTGGTGTCCAGTCCTCTCAGGCAGAGTGCTCAACTCTTTTGATTCTACTGCCAGAGTATTTGGCAGTAGCCACTCACCCTAAATCAGAGGGAGGCCACTGTCAGTCCTGGGTGTAAGGTCATCTGCCTTGTGTCCTGCACGAGTCTAGACTAAAGCTTTCATAGCCTTTAGGGCACTCGGGGCAGAAGAGCTTGGGATCACCACTCCCAAGCCCCAAGCTACTCAGGTCACTTCAGCCAACCAACAGGGGTCCCTGATTCCCGTCTGCCCCTGCTGGGCCCTCTGCCTTCTCTGCATCCCTTGTTCTGCTATCCCAGAACCTGACTCAGGCTGGAGAGAGCGTGATTCTGTTCAGATCCTCTGTGGACAGGAGTCAGGACGCCGAAGCCAGGGGCCAAGAGGATCCTGAAATCCATCCTAAGGAGTAGGGCCCTGTGCTAAGCCCCTGAGTTGACTCCAGACCCAGGCTGGCCCTACTCTATGAAAACACCTGTTACTCTTGGTGTCTGGTGGCCTCAAAGCGAGCCCTGCTCAGTCTGGAGTGACCCAGTCACAATATAGCTTTCCAGAGCTTGAGTGTCTCAGGGCCATGTTACATTTCTGGGAATCTGGACCCTAGCTTTGGCACAACTGGTAGGGATCTAGTCTCATAACCCTGGGACACGCACAGGCTAGCCAGGCCAAATGAGCTCAGGGCTAGAATACAACACGGTGACCCAGCTCAGGAAGTGGAAGCAAGTCTAGCCCATGCCCTCTGATGCCTTCTTGGTCCCCACCAACCACAAGCCTAGAGCCTACCAGGCCTGAGACCCAACACTCCCACCTCAGCATTCCAGACTGACACAGGCACACCTCAGGCTGATGCAATACCATCTGCAGCCAGAGGGTGGTACAACAGGAGACTCCAGAGAACATCCCTGCTCCCCCAGGGTCCCAGCCAACCTGGGGTCCTTCGGAGGTAACCAGCTAAGACGTGTAGCCACACAGATCCCATCCTCCCATGACAAACAGAAGCAAAATGGACTGTCTTTTCTCTCAAAGGGTTAACTAAGACAAAATTCCACTTAAAGAGAAATGTAAAGAAGCCACTTGGCAGAAATTCAAATTCCTACAGGATCAGCATTTCTTGAAATCAAAATATATGCTAAAGTTTCATTTCTGCCCGGAAACTGTGCGGCTCTGTATTAGCCAATCACCAAAGAGTGTGAGGAAAAGCGATGACCGCCAGAGTGAGGCGCTGGGCTCTTGACTTGCCAATATGCTTTTGGACTTTTGTGCATTCATTTTCTTGAAGCCCAAGACACACCGTGAATCACCAGTGCGATGGGGACCCCAAACTCTCAGCCCATCGAAAGAGCAGGACCCTGTGAGTGAGAGCCTCCCATCGGGTCCTGGCCCCGTGGGTCAAAGGTTCTGAGGGACCACAACCCACAAGGCTGCTGAGGGGAGGAGTGGGTAGCAGCTGCCCAGAGCCTGGTACACAGGTATATCTGGAATAGGTTTAGTCGGCGCTGAGGGAAGCAGGTGGGCTCAGAGCTGGCACCCTCATGCACCCCTAACCCCTCAAAGCTCTCTCCTCTCTGCCTCTTTGACCCCCAAGAAGCCACCTCCTCCCTTCGTCACCACCAGGGGCCGGTGCCATCTCTGGTTGGATAAATGTGCCCATGAGCGTTATCAGCTGCAGCGAATAGACAAAGACGTAAGTAGATGGTTGCGTGTTGCATGAGAGCCACGTTTATTTCTGAATTGGACAGAGCCCTAAGTGCACACAAACAGTACAGGGGGCTACAGCTAACACTCAGGTGTAAACAGCAGGATACTAGTCATTACGTCAGATGGTTACGACATGGGGACCAGGGGGTGCCCACAGCAATCACATATGTACAAGTCAGGGACACAGCCTCTGAGCTGCAGGGGAGCCCTCAGGATAGACAAACTACAGGAGGTCCGGGCTCATGGGGAGACTCAGGTCGGCCACAGCATCTGTCCATCCTGGGGGACTGCATGGCTCCAGACCCAGGGGTAAAGGAATGTGTCTTGTGAGGTCCCCATGCTGGGTGGAGCAGAGGATCAACATCTTAGCCTTGTTCACATCTGTAACATCAGTCGTATTCAGTAATCCCAAGATACCCAGGGGTCTCCAGGGGCCGAAATAGATGAGGAGAGCAA